AGCTGCATCTGCAGAGGCATGGAGGGGTGGGGGAGGAGGGGATCTCAGCCATGCACTCACCTCAGGCAGCGTGTGACTCATCAGCCATGAAGGACCACCACTCGGACAGAGGTTGATCCATTCCCTTTCTCAAGAGCAACTGGAAAGCCTGTCTCTACTTGGAAGCAGACTGTCCTACTACCTTTGGGGTAAACGTTGCAGGAAGAACAGGACCCCCGATTTGCCACTGCACACTAAACAGCCGCCCCACAGTGGTTGTGAGGGTCAGAGCTGACATGGGAGCATGCTTCTGTCTCCTGGGCAGTGACCCCATATGGAATGTACTTGTCTGCCCACCTCGACGAGCAACGCCTGCGAGGTGTCGCTGTGTCAACCTGGCCGCAGCCCCCGGAGATGCAACAGAACAGGAACTGAGTGAGGTGTGGCTGGGAGGGCACTGTGCAGACATGGGAACAACTCCACCAGCAGACTTTAAGTAAAGAAGATTATCCTGGAGAATGTGGGTGGGCCAATCAGCTGAAGGCTCTAAGAGCAAACACCAGTGTTCTTGTCCAATCAGCTGAAGGCCCTAAGAGCAAACACTGGTTTTTCAGGGAAGAAGAAACTCTGCCTCTAGACTGAAGCATCAGCTCTTGCTGCCGTCTCCAGCCTGCCGCCTGCCCTGCAGATTTCAGACCTGTCAGCCCCCACAGTCACGTGAGTCAGTTCCTTAAATATGTAACCTATGGCTTCTGCTTCTCTGGAAGACCCTGACTGACACAGTAACTGATGGGAGGGTATGCTGCACTTGACTTTGGGCCCGCAGAACCTGATGCCCTTTGCTGACAGTGAGGTTCACACCACAGGCAAGAATAGCCGGGCCCATGTTGATTTCATGAAGCCCGTCTACCTGACCCTGGGCTCCCTTCTCTACGCCAGCAGCAAGAAGCAAGATTTGGAACTCATCCGCAACCTTCAAGATTCCTCAAGACAATCTGGGGAGAACTGATGTGAAATTTGAGGCAAATAACCAAGATTTTAAATGGGGGACAGGGGAGAAGAAAAGTCTTTCCCTGGTTCTTGCAAGGTTTAAAACACAAATCACAAGGAAGACTGAAGCATAAACAAATGCATGAAAGAATTTTAACATAATTAATCTAAATTATAGCTCTAATGTCATAAATATTTCCACATTTATTCCTGTTTGTCTCTACAGAGTCTAACAGATATAAATAGCTAATTGAAGCATCTGTCTTAATAACCAGCAGATACGAAAACAATGACCAGAAAAAAAAAATTGTCTTTAGCTTCCCAAGTACAGCTTCTGATTTCAACTGGAGCCACAGATGGCCCATTAATAGACGCGACTACTTTTTAGATCTGGAGGAGGACGAAGGGGACCAGCCTCTTCCTGTGGGGTCACAGTGAGGTTGCTTGGTCCCCTCAGGCATCAAAGCCAGCGCCCTCACCCGAGAGGTGCTGCACAACCTCGGCCAGAGCACTTCCAGGAGGAGCGTAGGGAACTAGCAACCTAGGAAGGAAAAGGCAGAGAGGGGAGGGAATGCGAGGCAGGCAGGTCGGCTGGCTGCTGAGCTACAGGCTGCACTCCTAGGGCGGCTACGTGTCATTGAAAAAAATAAGACGAAAATAACTTACTGTGCAGGCAATTAATTCTGGTTGGCATAGCGATCCTCTTAAGTTAAGGGGAACGAGCAGGAGATGAAGAGAAGAGGCAGAATTATGCAAGAGCAACATCAGAGTGGACGTGGTAAGGGCTGCGAGCTGCCTAATCACACACACATGGGAAGTCACTGTGCGGGACATTTGGTCTAAATCACATGCACACAAGAGGTCACTGTGCGGGACATTTGGTGACTGGTCTAAATCACATGCACACGGGAAGTCACCGTGCGGGACATTTAGTGACTGGTCTAAATCACATGCACACAAGAGGTCACTGTGCGGGACATTTGGTGACTGGTCTAAATCACACGCACATGAGAGATCACTGTGTGGGACATTTGGTGAGCCGTCTAATCACACGCACATGGGAAGTCACTGTGTGGGACATCTGGTGAGCTGTCTACACCACACGTGCACTCAGGAAGTCACCGTGTGGGACATTTGGTGACTGGTCTAAATCACACGCACATGAGAGGTCACTGTTTGGGACATTTGGTGAGCCGTCTAATCACACACACATGGGAAGTCACTGTGTGGGACATCTGGTGACCCATGTAATCACACATGCATAGGAAGTCACTGTGCGGGACATCTGGTGAGCCGTCTACACCACACGTGCACTCAGGAAGTCACCGTGCGGGATATCTGGTGACCCATGTAATCACACATGCATAGGAAGTCACTGTGCGGGGACAAGGTTTTCTACTGTTCAGTTTGATTTTTTCCCCCAAAACCTGCCTTGAAACTTTTGTCCTTACTTGAGGTAACATACCTGTAATTTACCCTCTTAGCCATTTCTGCCTACACAGTCCAGTGGTGCTGAGTACTACAGCAGTGGCCGACTTCACTGATCTTTCTGTCAACTCTAAGTAGATCAGAATCTGGGGACTACACTTCCTGCGCTGGCTGTAGCATCACAATATGTACATTTCCAACCAGCAGAACCTCCCTGAGGGTTCTCAATACACAGGCACTCAGAAGCCTAATACAAACTCCTTACTCAGACAGAAGATACAGACGGTTCTTAAAACAAAACAACACCAAAAAACCTTCAGTGTTTTCAAAAGACACCCTCTATTACCAGTTTTGAGAAATGTTTGGTCGAAAAATGAAAATTATTTGGCACCCATAACACAGAATCTCTCAGAACTGTGACAACATCTCAGAGACGCTAAGTATAAGTCTCTTAAAAAACACTGGAAGGAACAATTTAAAACCGCTGTCAAGTATGTCCTGTTAAAAAACCGTGAGTCAATGCAGTACAGGCGCAGGAGTGAGACTCACTGCACAGCTGAGGCTCTCTGCTGCCTTCCCAAAACCCAAGCCTCAGGGAGCTCCGAGCAGGTGATGCAGGCGGCCAGCCCCAGCCCCTGGCACACCTGCCTAACACCCAGTCCTGAAACAGTTGGGGGACCCCTCATCTACCTGGCCTGTGAAGGGAGAGGAGCAGGGTGGCTGACACAGCAAGGATGGAAACCCAGGGAAAGGCCTCGCCAGGAGGGAAAGCAGACAGAGGAAGGAGGAAGGGCCAGGCGAAGGAACACAGAACTTGGCATGAGTGAGGTGAGCGAGGCCTGGCATTTCAGAAGGAACGAGGAGGGCAGATGTGGGGTTGGGTACTGCCAGGACAAGAGGAAATGGGCCACTGAGTCAGGGAAGGGAGAGGAAGAGCCACCCCACCCTGCACCCTTGTGGGTCCCGCCTCGCCCAGCACTCACTGTCTCCAAGACAAAGAACAGGCCTTGGGTGTGTGGGTCAGGTGACCAGGTCACCTTTGACATAACCCAAGCCGAGGCTTCTTAACAGGAGCACAGGAGCCTGTCACAGAGGCCAGTGTGCAGCTTACGGCCCCCAAGTGCTCTGTGGATGGGGGGCCCATGCAGAAAGCACCCCAAGGCCAGGCAGTGGGCAATCGGAGGCCGAGGGGTCTGACATCCCACCCAGGGATTTCCTCCTTCTCCCTTTCCTCCCCTGACTTTCCATTTTCCCCACATCTATCCTGACTATGTACTGGCAAGGAGGGTGGCCACAGTGTGCCATGGCTGGGGACACAAAGCCAGGACAGGGAGAGAGGGGAGGAGGACGGACGCAGAGAGTCCAGCCCACAGCAGGCTGCCAGATTTGGCACCAGGGACACTTGGGACCAGAGCGGCCTGCACTTTGAGGCTGCCTTGTGGGGGAGTGTCCTGTGCCAGGCAGGGTGTTGAGTGACATCTCTGGCCTCCATTCACCAGACGCCAGCTACACCCCAGACTCCCAGTTGTGACAAGTGAAGTTATTTGCTGCCAATATTCCCTGGGGGAAAAGTGCTGGTTTGAGAACCATGGTGTGTGGCATCAAGAACAGAGGGCAAGAGAGGCAGCGACAGTACCGCTTACCACCCTGCCCCAGGAGCCCCTGAGATTTCCCAACAGACGGTCTTAGGACATCTTGAGATTTCTGCTGAGAGCCTTGGAGCCCACACAGGGGCCAGAGCCAGGAGTTAACGCCGAGTTTCACCTGAGCTCACGGCTTGGCTCCGGCGCCTGCCTCGCCCCCAGTCCTGTCTTCTGCACTGAGATGTCCTTTTGCCCCCTGAATGGTGGAGTCAGGTGGGCGCAGGCAGTGGACATGCTTCTTTCTGATGGAGGAGGATGGAGGCTCGGTGAGTCTCACATCTGGAACCGACTCCAAGCCCCTGGACTACATGCCCTTAGCAAATATATCCAGGTTACGTCTGGACATCACGCCAAGGCGCTGTCTGGCAAGTCTGCGCACGCTTAAGGAATGTCTAGTTTTAAACGCCTGACTCAGGGCTGATGGAAATAATCAGCGCTAATGAAAGGCTCACCGCCTCACCACCCGCCCACATACTAAGTTAATCCGTTCACGATTCCCGGGACTTCTCTCCCTGTAGAGCCTCCTAGAGTCAGGCGGTGAGGTCTGGTTTGTTTTAGGTGCAGGGTAGAGTCAGAGAGGCCCAAATCCATAGTGGAAGGAGCCCCGGGCTCTGCCTGGCTTTGCTCTGAGTCTCTGTGGCGCCTTCATAGTGTAGGGCTCTTGGTGACCCCTGGAGAAGCCAGGAGGAGTGAGCCCAGACTGAGGAGGGGCCTCTAGGCAGGGACACACGCTGGCCCCAAATGCAGAGAGGACCCAGACTCTCACACAGAAGGACCTGCAGACACCCCTATGGGCTCAACCATTCAGCATGGGGCATAGCTGGTGGGGCAGAGGGTGAGGTTGGGAGGGAGCTTGTAGGAGACAAAGGGAAGGAAAGCAGATGACTTCGGCTTGGAAGCCAGCATGAGCTAGAAGCCACCAAGTAGGGGGCCCGGGGTGGGGGGCTCGGGTGCAGGTACCTTTATGCTTTTTGGCGGTGCCCGGCTCCGAGACACTCACGGAGCTCTCTGACAGCTCATCACCGTCGGGATCCAGCAGGGCCGGGCCACTCCAGGCTGCAGCCTGGGGCTCCTTCTCCAAGTCCCAGGAGTCCAGCTCGTCATCCTGGGGATTGGGGGCAGAGGGTGCCTGGGCTGACTTGGCTTCCTCGGGTGGGGCAGAGGCTGCAGCCGCCTCCGGATGGGACGGGGTATCCTCCTGGTGGGCGCTGTCCACGGAGGCTGCATAGTCCTGCATCAGGGCAGCATCGTGGTCCTGGGACAGTGAGGTCTATCAGGGCGGTGAGGAAGACAAGGGTTACATGAAAGGAAGGGAGGGTTTCAGAACACCTGAAAAGCGCCCTCCAAACATTCTGACAGCTGATTTCAAAGTCTCAGAAGACACCGCAGCGGGCCTTGGAGAAGGCGCTCACACATCATGGCTGTTGCTCGTGACTGGGCTACAAGTGGCCTCCCTTACATCCGGGACCACAGCCCCTGGGCAGCTGCGGGTGGCCCCCGGGACTCAAGAGGTTAACCCTCTTCCTCCCACAGATGGGCCAGTGCTGGGAGCACTTGTGGCATCCGTGGACACCAGACGTGAGAGAGAGCCCGTCCTTCAAAGCCCACGACAGCACGAAGGAGGTGGCCGGGGCGTTTCGGGTTTGCTTTTGCTTGTTCCTAGGCTCGTTTATGTTACCTGCAAGTCAAAATTCACTAGTGCATCCTTTCAAAAATTATATTTTGTGTAAAAATATTTCAGCACTAAATTAACCTCTGAGAGTCAGGCTAGCTCTTCCTTGGAGCGGGGGAAAGTTCGGGAAGGAGGGCACGAAGGCTTCCTGGGGCCCAGTCATGCTGTTCTTTGGGTGGGTGACAGTGACACAGGCGTTTGCTTAGGGACAACGGTGCTGCTCTGACTTAAGTGCCAGCCTGTCATCTGAGCACCAAGAAAAACAATCACTGCAGTGGACTCAGAACATTACATACTAAGATCCAGGAGTTCCTCATGACTTTTAAATACAATCTTAGAAGAAGTATAGGGAGATGACCACGGGTCTTGTCTTTACCTGCTCATTCATTCCCCCAAGACTGAAGAAAACCCAACTACTGGGCCCTGGACTTGCAGAGAGGCCATGGGCCCCCTGCTGAGGCCCCTGGAGGTGTGCTCAGGAAGCCCCAAAGACATCACCCACCTGCCTCAGGGATGTGGGGCAAGGCCACCCTCTGGGTGCAATGGCAAGGCTGATGACTCATTTCTGGCACCCCCGAGGTCCTGTTCTGGCCCATCTTCTAGCCACTCAGGAATTCATCCTTCTGCGTGTGCCCTCTGGCCCACGCTCCCACTCACATTTTGCCCAAAATTCTTCCTCATGCCCCCTACTCCAAACCAAAATCTCCCAACCCTCCCACCAACTGTTCATTTGGAAATGTCAAAAAAGAGTAAGGGCTGGGAGCAGTGGCTCCTGTCCATCATCCCAACACTTTGGAAGGCAGAGGTAGATAGATCACTTGAGCCCAGGAGTTCAAGACCAGCCTGGGCAATGTGGTGAAACCCTGTCTCCACCCAAAATACAAAAATTAGCCAGTCTCAAAACAAATAAATAAATAGATAAAAATTTTAAAAATTAAAAAAATTAATAAAACGGGTACAGATCTGTCACATGGCCCTTCACCCGAGGGCTGGCCTCTCTGCAGCCTGGACCACACGCCCGCCGCCACCTGCTGAGCAGACATCGCAGAGCAGGAGAAGGCGAAGAGAGGGGGTGCGATGTCCATGCAGGACACTACAGTCTTCCTTTCTCTGATCACAAAAGGAATAAACATTCAGCTCAAAAACGTAAAAGGCTCTGGAAACACGTCACGTGTAAAGTGAAAGTTCCCGTGAGTGGGTGGTGACGAGGGTAGGGGTTCTGCCCCAAAGCGGAGTCTCACGTCATGTTCCTCTCTTTCTAATACCTTTCTTTAAATGATTCCCCAGTCTCTCAACGTGTAAGGCATCCCCGATTACAAACTCTCGAGTCTCCCTGGTGAACAGGATAAACTGTGTGAACACAATACCACGCGTGACTCCTTTGTCGGGTGAGGAACATAATTTGACATTTGCAAATGGAACTCTGCACGTTTTAAACTTCCTCGAGGGGAGGAGCAGTAGGTCACTGACAGATGCAGACACCTCCCCAGCCGCCGCGACGTACCTTGGAGATCCCTGATATGATAATAGTGCTCTTCTTCCGCGGCGACTTGAGTTTCAGCTTGGAGGATTCACTGAGCTGTCGAATGGCAACTTCGGCCACTGGATCCGAACCATTCAACACCAACAGTTCTGCCAGAGGGAAGGCAGTGTTAAAGTCATCTGCGAAAATTACAGACGTCTACGGAAAACGGAAATGGTCCATAAGCAATGGTTAGCAGGCATTTTCTAAAAAGGGCAAAACAGGAAATCGCTCAGGCTTTGTAGGTAGTCTCGCGACATCTTCTCAATGCCACTTTTGTAGAGTGAAACCAGCTAGAGACCACAGGTAAATAAACGAGCATGGCTGGGTTTCAATAAAACTTTATTTACAAAAACAAGTGATGGGCCAGATTTTTCCCATGGGCCACAGTTTGCTGTTTGCTGACCCTTGGTCTACAGCTTGATTACCTGGTGGTTACAAGATACTCACTAAAGTGTCTGCTTAAGATTCACCCATTTTATTTATTTAAGCTATACCTGAATAGAGTTGATGGAAAACGGCAAAAGCAAGCAAACAACAACCACAAAATCTAACCCTCTGGAAGATTCTGAACTTTGAAAGCCTAGGTATTGACTCCTTTTCCCTCCCGAGGGCGGCTAAACACACAGAATAGTAACTAGAGCTAGGAAGGGCCGGTTAATAAAAGCAGCTCCTTCCCCAGGTTAATAACAACACACACCAGCCAACATCAACAGAATGCTTACAACGACCCAGGTGCTGTTCAGAGAGCTGTGTGCACATTATCCTCCTCCACACCCCATGAGCAGGAACTGCCTTCCGTCCCATTTGACCAGGGGGGAGGATGTCCATCAGCCAGGAGGCCCCAGGGCTGAGACGACCAGCAGGTCTCCGACTCCAAGCTGATGCTCACAACTTACACTGTCTTGCTCAGGTGAAGTCAAAATGACAAAGCTGGCAAAGCAGCAGGATGGCAAAAGGAACTTCTCCTGCCACAGTCTGGCCACAGCCTGAGGCTTAGAGATGCTGTGTTTCCAAAGGGAGTCAAGAGAAGACCACAGTGGCCAAGAACCAGTGACAAGTGACCCTGGAAATAACAGAGACCTGGGCTTCCTCCCTGGTTCCTAGCACAGAGAACAGAAAATCTCTCAGAATTCCAGAGCCCCTGAGCTGAGGCATCTTCTTACTCAGCACGAGCCCCTGCTCCCCACCAGAGTGAATGCTCATGAGGACGGGCACCGGCCGTCCGAGACACCAGCCCTGCAGGTAGGAGGCTGGAGCTTTCTGCCCTCCTCTCACCTGTGGAGAAGGGAAACGGGCTACAGATTGAGTTCAATGTACCAGTGGCCAATACATGAATCAATCATGCCTACAGATCTACATACAGAAGCACCATAAAACCCCTAAATGGCAGGTTCAGGGGGCGTCTAGGCTGTGAACCAACGCAGGCATGTACCGAGGGAGCGGTGGCTCCATGGACACCAAGCTCCTAAGCTCAGGGCCCTTCCAGACCGCGGCCCATGCCCTCTTCACCTGGCTGTGCACTGGTGTGATAATAAACCGTAATCCCAAGTCAAGTGTTTCCCTGAGTTCTGTGGGCCACTACAGCAAATACTGGAACCTGAGGAGGTTGCCATGTGTGTAGCCAAGTGGGACAAAATATGGGAACCTGGGGACCCACTATTTGGCCTGCCGTCTAAAGTGGGAGGGTGCTTTTGTGGGGCTGAGCCTTTAACCTGCGGGATCTCAGCTAACTCCAGGTAGCGCCAGAATTGAATTAAATTGTAGACACCCAGTTGTCGCTGCAGAGAAACAGAAAATTGCCTGCTGTAGAGAATCCACACAACGGTGTCCTGAGTGGTGTGAGCAGAGAACGGATTTCCACTTAGCTACTGACCCACACTGAGAAGAGAGAATTGCTGAAGAAAGACGCTGGGGAGGACTCCTTAGGAGAAAGCTGTGCTGTGGTTCCCAGAGCTGCCAAGGGAGAGGTGTCGGGAGCGCGTCCTCCTCACGCCAGGCCCAGTGCTTCTCTTCAGTCCCCCGAGAGCCCGGCCCAGGTGCTGAGGGCTGCAGCTACAGCGCCTGGCTGCACCGTGGCGGGTGGGCCTGGGGCTGCTCCACGGTCCCGGAACCCACAGTGGGAACATCAGCCCGGGGCTTTTAAGACAGGACCCTGCAGCGTGGGCAGTAGGGGCACTGCCAGGGGAAGAAACTGAGGAAGGGGCATCAGGAGCAGCGGCCAAAGCCTCAGAGGCATTAGCACCACAGCGGCTCCATCTCAAATAAGTGCTGGGCAAAACGAGGCTGGGCTGCATTGCCAGGAGCTGAGGCGTCCTGACTCACAGAGTGAGCTTGGAGGTGGGCACAAGACACAGGCCACAAGGACCCTGCTGATGCAACAGGGTGCGGTAAAGCAGCCGGCCAAAACCAGACAAAACCGGCCAAAACCAAGATGGCCGCAAAAGTGACCTCTGGCTGTCCTCACTGCTGATGATATGCTAATTATCACACACTAATTATCATATATTAGCATGCTGAAAGACACTCCCACAAGCACCACGACAGTTTACAAATGCCATGGCAATGGCAAGAAGTTATCTCACATGGTCTAAAACGGAGAGTAAATCCCCTGTGCGGTTCTGAGAAATCCCCACCACTTTGCTAGAAAACTTATTAATAATCCACCCCTTGATTAGCATATGATCAAGAAACCACCATAAAGCTAACCAATCAGCAGCCCTCAGGGCTCTCTGCCTACAGAGTAGCTATTCTTTTACTCCTTTACTTTCTTAAAACTGGCTTTCACTTTACTCTGTGGGCTCGCCCTGAATTCTTTCTTGCGCCAGATCCAAGGACCCTCTCTTGGGGTCTAGATCAAGACCCTTTTCCAGTAACAAAAGGAGGGGCAGGGCCTGTGCCCGAGAATTGCAGGTGGGGGACCCAGCAGGGTGGTATCCACAACACCACGAAACTTCCCACGAGGGAAGGAGGCAGTCGCAAACTTTCGCCAGGCAGAGAGAATACAAAACCACGTGAAGACAGCGCCCCTCCAGGGAGAACGTCCCACCTCCCTGACCACCCACCTCGCCTGACTGACGACCTTGGCAAGGCCTGACACAGGACTCAGCGAATGGGGAGAGCTGGGCAAGAAGGAACACCCACTGACCCTCAGAGCAGGCCACCAGGGGCGAAGAGAGGAAGGGCAGCCCACATCCAGACTGCGCGGTGACTTAATGCGTTGCTAAGACACCTCTTCAAAGATGTCTATTACCTGAAGGTGCCCATAAAAATAGGAGATGTGCATTTCCCATTAGTAGTGACCATCTCCTAGCAGAAGGGAAAACTTCTTCTACCAAGCGGGTTTAAGCAGAAAGCAGGAAACAAAACTACAGTGACCGTGATGACGATCTCTCGAGTCCTACTTATTCGATATTAATTTAGCCAGTGTGTTGTGCAAGAGAAAATATACTGATGAGAACTTTTAACACGTAAAGTCTCAGCTGGCTTTTTGTTTTGTTAGTGTTCCCTGAAATGTAGCAGGAATGTGAATGCCGCTCCCGGTCTTTGATCAACTTGGAGTTCTCTTTTTTCCCTCCTTCTTCACTCACCATTCAACAACAAAACCAAACCAAACTGAAACTTTTTCTTAGAGAAAAATAAAGGGGGGTCTCGCTCTGTTGCCCAGGCTGGAGTGCACTGGTGCAATCTTGGCTCACTGCAATCTCTACCTCCCCGGTTCAAGCAATTCTCCCGCCTCAGCCTCCCGGGTAGCTGGGATTACAGGCATGTGCCCCCACACCAGGCAATTTTTATGTTGTTAGTAGAGATGAGGTTGCACCATGTTGGCCAGGCTGGTGTCAAATTCCTGACCTCAAGTGATCCACCTGCCTCTGCCTCCCAAAGTGCTGGGATTACAGGTGTGAGTCACTGAAGCTGGCCCCAAAAAACATCTTCCAAACTCTGAAAGCAAAATACTTACTTCATATCAGAACAGCCTGAAAGGCCCAAAGGTGTAAGAGGGAGAGCGACACGGGCACGTCTCAGTTACCTGTGTCTGAAGAAGAGAGCGTTTTGCTGACGGGCGCACTGCGGCAGGAGATGGCCTGGACAGAGATGTCCTTCTCGACCACCTTCACCTTGACGGGAGTCTTCACTGGAGACTCTGCCAGAGGAAGACCCTGATTACAAAGCTGGCCCTGTGGCTGACTGGATCAACAAGTACCCACAGTGAAAGGACACCCCTCACCGCAGTCTGGTGTGCGCGGCTGGTAAAGGCAAAGCTTAACGAATGCTGTTTTGAGGGGAGGAGAGGCAGGAGTGGTGTCTGCAGTCCAGGTTGAAAGTACATTTCAGAAACATTTTAACTAAGCCAGAATTGCTATTCTATTTTGCATCGCTGAACTGTGCCAACTCATCTATTCTGGGAGAATAATGCTCGTGCACAAGCAGAGATGCAGTGTGATTTGAAGAAATAAAGTTCTACAGACACTGTCTCCAAGTGGCTGTGGAGACAGGTACAGAATTCAGCCGATCTCACACCGTGGCCGTCAAGCCTTCTCGGAAACGGTTTTTAACAGAACAAAGCCTACAAGGACCACTCACATTGAATTTTTTCAAGAAAAAAGTGTATGCTGTCCCCACATACATGTAATAGAGTTCATGGGGTTTTTTGTTGTTTTGTTTTTAAGGTGTTTTGCTCTTGTTGTCCAGGCTTGAGTGCAATGGTGTGACCTTGGCCCACTGCAACCTCCACTTCCTGGGTTCAAACAATTCTGCCTCAGACTCTAGAATAGCCGAGACTACATGCATGCACCACCATGCCTGGCTAATTTTGTATTTTTAGTAGAGACGGGGTTTCTCCATGTTGGTCAGGCTGGTCTCAAACTCCTGACCTCAGGTGATCCACCCACCTCAGCCTCCCAAAGTGCTGGGATTATAGGCATGAGCCGCCTCATCTGGCCCTAAAACAGAGTTCTTAATTTAACTTAGTTGGAGTTATACCTAAGTGTAACTATTTATAATATCTAGATTTTAGCTTCAGAATATCCACGGGATTGAACCTTGTTTCAGCTCATTGCATATGTGTTTGACAGAAGAGAAAGGTAACTGTCTGACAACAAAAAGCTGGGCACGAGCATGGCCAGTCAGCACCCTTCCTGCGCTGAGACCTTCCTCACACTCAGCACTGCAGGCTACAGAACTCTGCAGCCCCAGAGGAGGGGCGGTTACGGGCAGGCGCTGCAGGCTGTAGAACTCTGCAGCCCCGGAGGCAGGGCGGTTACGGGCAGGCGCTGCAGGCTGTAGAACTCTGCAGCCCCGGAGGCAGGGCCGTTACGGGCAGGCGCTGCAGGCTACAGAACTCTGCAGCCCCGGAGGGGGGCGGTTACAGGCAGGTGCTGCAGGCTGTAGAACTCTGCAGCCCCGGAGGCAGGGCGGTTACGGGCAGGCGCTGCAGGCTGTAGAACTCTGCAGCCCCGGAGGCAGGGCCGTTATGGGCAGGCGCTGCAGGCTGTAGAACTCTGCAGCCCCGGAGGCAGGGCCGTTACGGGCAGGCGCTGCAGGCTACAGAACTCTGCAGCCCCGGAGGGGGGCGGTTACAGGCAGGTGCTGCAGGCTGTAGAACTCTGCAGCCCCGGAGGGGGGCGGTTACAGGCAGGTGCTGCAGGCTGTAGAACTCTGCAGCCCCGGAGGCGGGGCGGTTACAGGCAGGCGCTGCAGGCTGTAGAACTCTGCAGCCCCAGAGGCAGGGCGGTTACGGGCAGGCGCTGCAGGCTGTAGAACTCTGCAGCCCCGGAGGCAGGGCGGTTACAGGCAGGCGCTGCAGGCTACAGAACTCTGCAGCCCCAGAGGTGGGGCGGTTACGGGCAAGCAAGACGCACAGGTCCTGGACTGTGCTATTGACCCACCAGAGCTCAGCGGGGACGCCCTCCCCATGTCGACACGAGGCTTGGTCTTCACAGCGGTGACAGTAGTGACCACAGTCCCACAGGGCATCACCGTGCGGTCCTTTTCTATTTTTGCAGCAGGAATAGGGGGAGGGATGGGCGAGGATTTCAATTCACCAGGTTCCACATAAGAAAACTGCAGAGAAGACACGTTAGTTGTTTCTTTTTTTTGAGACAGAGTCTCGCTCTGTCGCCAGGGGCCAGGCTGGAGTGAAGTGGCGCAATCTCAGCTCACTGCAACCTCTGCCTCCCGGGTTCAAGTGATTCTCCTGCCTCAGCCTCCCGAGTAGCTGGGACTACAGGCACGCACCACCATGCCCAGCTAATTTTTGTATTTTTTCAGTAGAGACAGGTTTTCACCATGTTGACCAGGATGGTCTCGATTTCCTGAGACCTCGTTATCTGCCCACCTTGGCCTCCCACAGTGCTGGGATTACAGGCTGAGCCTCCGCGCCATGGTACTTGTTTCTGGTTTTCTGGAACCTGCACAGGCTGATCAGCCATGTCACGCTGCCTTCGTCTGAAATACCTGTCATTTTTTTCCCTTAAGATCACTTATTTCCAATTAACCTGGATCTTCCCAGAATGGACACAGACCCCACCTCACACACAGCCAGCTCAACACATAATGATGGAAACAGAACAGAAGCTGGAGAACCAGGCACAATTTTCAAAGGCCTTTTTGGGGTGGGCCCATAAACTGGCATCCTCCTGGCTCTCTCCTCCAGCACACAACTCAACCGTAGAGCACAGAACGTGCTCTATTTGAGTCTAGACATGCGTACGATGAAATAGCACCTCCTCTTAGTGAGGTCTTATATCACACGGAAGTGGAAGCGAGACTCTGGCAGACATAAGTCCTGGGATACAGGCTCCCAGCGGAACCTGGCCGTGGTGGACAGCCTCGCCCTACCTCTGCCGTGACGGAGCCCAGCACCGAGCAGCCGCGGGCAGACCCACTGGTCAACACGAAACTCTGTGGTCCAGAAGGCTGCTTCTTAAATAAATCCAAAGGAACTGTCGCCGTCGCCAGCAGACCTGGAAAGACAGGACACAGGCAAGGGGGGCTGCTGATGTTTCCATGGGGTTCCGTGAGAACAAAGGGGCCTGCACACCCGGCAGCCAGAATGCGCCCCTCACGTGCATCAGCACACTCGAAAGCACTCACATTTCAGAACGTTTTAAAAACATCTATGTCACAAAAGACAAAGCAAGACTGTGGAAACGCTGCAGGACGGAGGATGCTAAAGCCACAGGACATTGAGGTAGCATCCGGCCCTGGGCTGAAGTGGAGAGGCAGCTGCTCTGAAGGACATCATGGGGTCACCCAGGGACAAAAAATTGGAAAATGGGCATAAATTAAAGAATTGCAGCAAAGTAAATTCAGGAAGCTGAAAACTGTGCTGTGGACACAGAAGAGAATATCCCCATTCCTAGGAAAACACACTAAGGAATCAAGACCCATGCCATTTACCCTCAAGGGGTGTGTGTGTGTGTGTGTGTGTGTGTGTGTAAAAAGAAAATGAGTGTGGCAGGGAGAGACCAAGCATGAGCACAAATAATAAAGGAAATTGGGCAAATGTTAAGGATACGAGATTCTGAGTAAAGGTTATGTGGCTGTTCTTTGTATTGATTTTGGAAAGCTGGAAATTTCATAGGCTGCATCAGGCTGGCTGGGATGAACTGTGAATGAGGCCAGCAGGAGTGGGGACCAGGAATGCTGGCTCAGAAGCTGGCTCCTCTCCAGGTAAACAGTGCCCCCAGGCTGCGCTGGTCCCGACTTGGGAGCACTTCTCTCTCAGGATTCCTAACTCACGGCATCCCCGCTTTCTCGGGACTCCAAAATCAAGGAAGTCACCTCAGGATTCTTGCTGACAACTAGGGTATATCCAGTTAATTGGGAGAAATAATGACCTTCTAACTTGAGGAGGTAACCAAATGACTTTATGGCTGGATAAGCTGGCCAAGGACTTCCCAATTTTGGTACGTTTATGGGGAGAGTTTTGAAATCTAAGAAAATATTTATATTTTTAAAAACCTAACAGATCTCGAAACTACTGATCTGTACACACACACACATACAGGACCACATTCATTTTAGTGATTTTACCTCTAATTGTTGCTTTTTTGTGTCTAAATGGTAAGTTCCATTTAAGCCTCTGAAGTTTATTTTATAGGGATACCCGATGAAACTCATGCAGGCAGCAGAACAGGGATGAAAGAACCCTGGAGACAGATAGGGTGACCGCTGCACAGTGGGAATGTGCTTACCGCCCCTGAACTATGTACACAGAAATGGGTCAGATAATAACCTTTCTGTTTTTATCTTACCACAGTTAAAAGGTTGTGTTTCGTTTTGTTTTTTGTTTTCAAAAAAAAAAAAAAAAAAGGTCTCTTGGGGCTAGGAAGGTTCAGAATTACTTCTCTAAGCCAAGAATTGTTGCATAAAAGATTTTGGATTTTTTTTCAAAAAATCCAGTTGAATATTTCCCCGAAATGCATGACCTTGTTAAGAACTCAAATTGCCTTTCCACCAAACATTGCCGTGGGAAAACCGGAGTCACTTAGTGAAGGGGTCGGCTTCCTCTGCTGGGTCTCCCTCCGCCCCTTCCTGAGGCCCTGGTCAGGCCGGCGAGGACCTTTCCAGAGGGCAGGGCCTCCGTCCTCCTGCTCAACCCACCTTCCGAGGGTCGCCCAGACTCTGAAATCTGCAGGTATAACTCCTTCGACTTGGCATTCAACTCGCTTTGGAAGAGAAAAAAGTTATGAGTCCTAAAAAATGCACTGCTTCATTCTTTTTACAAAATACAGTACTTTTTCTGACTATAGAAACATAAAAATGTCAATATTTAGCAAACTACTGAGACATATAAGCCAAAAAAGGAAAAAGTATCTGCTGTTTCATTTGGAAACCACTGGAGAGGTGGCTGGTGCAAGCTGAGGAACTGAACGTCATTTTTAAAAATTTTCACTAACTTGAATTTAAAGAGATACTTTAAATTTCAGTCATTGCCATACTGAAAGCACAGCTATATAATGACTCAAACACAAAATACGGAACATGAACTACCATCTTCCTCCTTCGTAACCTATTTATTTTCATTAAAAAGAAAGCAAACAAACAAAAAAGTAGAGACGCAGTCTTGCTATGTTGCCCAGGCTAGTCTCAAACTCCTGAGCTGAAGCCATCTTCCCACCTCAGCCTCCCAAAGTGCTGGGATTACAGGGGGGAGCCACCGCACTCGGCAGAGACGCACATTCTTATGCATATATCTTTGCATGCCCAAGAGGCAGAGGTTGCAATGAGCTGAGATTGCGCCAATGCATTCCAGCCTGGGCAACAAGAGCGAAACTGCATCTTCAAAAAAAAGCATGGGTATTAAATGTCACTGAATGACTTCTGGCCATACGTAGAGATAATACGTTTATTTTCTCCTTTGAGCTAGCAATATGATGAACACCGTTAATAGATTTCCTTGTGTGAAAGCACATTACATCCATACATCCCAGTAAGAACACCGCTGGCTGATTTTTCACGTGCTGCTAGATTCTATTTCATAGCACTTCATTTCTCATTCTTACCCCATTATTTATGCATGGCCTACATTTTTCTCTTTCTCTATGCTTTGTTGTTTTATTTTTTGGAGATGGAGTCTCACTGTGTTGCCCAGGCTGAAGTGCAGTGGTGTAAGTTTGGCTCACTGCAACCTCTGAATCCCAGGCGTAAGCAATTCTCCTGCCTCAGCCTCCTGAGTACCTGTGATTACAGGCACCCGTCGTCATGTCTGGCTAAATTTTGTATTTTTAGTAGAGACAGGGTTTCATTCACCATGTTGGTCAGGCTGGTCTCGAACTCCTGACCTTAAGTGATCGACCCACGTTAGCCTCCCAAAGTACTAGGATTACATGTGTGAGCTACTGCACCCAGCCTTTTTCTTTTTTTTTTTTTGAGACAGAGTGTCTCTCTGTCACCCAGGCTAGAATGCAGTGACACAATCACAGCTCACTGCAGCCTTGCTCTCCCAGGCTCAAGAGATCCTCCTCCATCAGCCTCCCACGTAGCTGGGAGTACCAAAGGCAACTGCCACCATACCCAGTTAATGTTTTAAAAACTTTTAGTAGAGAAGAGGCCTTGCTTTGTTGCTCAGGCTGGTCTTAAATTCCTAGACTAAAGCGATCCTCCTATCCCTGCCTCCCAAACAGCTGGGATTACAAGCATGAGCGCCCGTGTCCAGCCCTTTTCTATTTTGTTAAGTTCTGGATTCAGTCAGAGGCACCTCCCTTTCTGCCCTGGATGGTATGTGTGTCTCTAAGAGACGCAGCAACAGCTCCCTCCCATCACATCTGGGCAGGAGGAGAAAACTGACTCTAAGAGCTGCCTTTGAAAACAGACTCACGTTGGAGCTCAAGCTACCTTTAAGATGTTTAAGACATCATTGGTTTTTGGATTTATTTTGTTTTGTTTCAGATGCAGTCTCTCTCTGTCTCCAGGCTGGAGTGCCGTAGCACAATCTCAGCTCACCGCAACCTCTGCCTCCTGGGTTCAAGTGAGTCTCCTGTCTCAGCCCCGCAACAGCTGGGACTACAGGCGCACGCCACCACGCCCAGTTAATTTCATATTTTTAGTAGAGACGGGGTTTCGCTATGTAGGTCAGGACGGTCTAGACCTCTTGGCCTCGTGATCTGCCCAGCTCGGCCTCCCAAAGTGCTGGGATTACAGGTGTGAGCCACTGCACCTGGCCAACACCATTTGTTTTTAACTTTTTTGGTTTCGTGTTTTGGCCTAAACGGTGCTGCAGAACGATTTCAGGATTTGGCGCTCCCGAGCAGACACAGCGTGGACACGCAGGCCCATGATAACGCGGCCAGACTCACAAGGTGAATTCCTCTTCCCACGTGAGGTCCGTAGTGCTCCTCGTGAGGGTGCTGGAGAACCTCTGAAGAGGATCATCCAGCTGCACGATGCACACTGTGTCCATGTGGCCTGTCAGTAAAGGAAGGACATCGTGTTGGTGTTTATTTTTATTCTTTAAACTGAGTGAACCCATTGTACGCATAGAAAAAAAGGCTAAATTGGGCCGGGCGCGGTGGCTCAAGCCTATAATCCCAGCACTTTGGGAGGCCGAGGCGGGTGGATCACGAGGTCAAGAGATCGAGACCATCCTGGTCAACATGGTGAAACCCCGTCTCTACTAAAAATACAAAAAATTAGCTGGGCACGGTGGCGCGTGCCTGTAATCCCAGCTACTCAGGAGGCTGAGGCAGGAGAATTGCCTGAACCCCGGAGGCGGAGGTTGCGGTGAGCCGAGATCGCGCCATTGCACTCCAGCCTGGGTAACAAGAGCGAAACTCCGTCTAAAAAAAAAAAAAAAAAAAAGAAAGAAAGGCTAAATTAAATGACTAAGGTTGAGGCTTACCCACTTCAGAGAGTGGGAATTCTTTCGTTTGCCATTTTCAAACTCTCAAAACACCAGCCTTTATCAGGGTGAAATAATTTTTCCCACATTTGATAATCAACAGCCCCGGGCTGACCCCAAGTGCCCGGCCCCCTCCGTCCGTGCAGGCCACACGTTATCAACTTGAGGGAGTCAGAGCTCACCTGGCTGTAGATACAGTGTTGGAATTACCAGAGTCGAAGGCCAGATCCTCAGTCTGAATATTCAGAGCTGCAGTATCATTGGTGGCCGAATGTTTTGAGGGCTCAATAAGGTTTATGATTTTCGTCTGTTATATACAAGATACACACGGACGGGAGGGCAAGGGTAATGAGGTTCATGGCAGGTAAGACGGTTCAGACTGTTTGGATTTCTTGAGTGTTGATGGTACTAGTGTGAGCTAGTTTTGTTGTGTTAGTGAGATGATACACAGGACTCGGGAGCTAATCAGGAAAATCATTATGAGGGCATAGTCATGGGCTCCCAGGGGACCCTCCCCGCGAGGCAGCACCATTACATACCGAGGCCTGGTCCCCACTTTTAGATAAGACTAACAGCTTGCCAAAGCCTAAACATCGATTCCTGCTGACTCCTGAATGGGGAGATACCTCACGGAGCACCCCTTTCTCGCCTTATACCAGACAGGGGCTGCTGGGGTATTCGACCCGGGTGGTGGGACATGTCACTAGTGAACGGTTCTTTCTGCTATGAGACAACGCTTCTCCCTGCAGCACACGGTCCCAATACACTGTGGAATCAGTCATTGCGAGTGTATGGACCCTGGCCCACGCAGCAGGAGGGAGGAGCAGCCCACGCAGCGGGAGGGAGGAGCGGCCCACGCAGCGGGAGGGAGGAGCGGCCCACGCAGCGGGAGGGAGGAGCGGCCCACGCAGCGGGAGGGAGGAGCGGCCCACGCAGCGGGAGGGAGGAGCAGCCCACGCACATTCTCTACTGGGCTTTCACAGTCACTCGTCAAGGGAGGCTCGGGCCCAGACGTGAGGACATCTAGGAGAGGCAGGAACCGTGCCTGGCCTCAGGGTAGGTGCATGTGGGAGCTGGGCCCCCCAACCCTGGCTGACTGAGTCCAGGGGAGCCCAGGCAGAGCCACTAAGCAGTACAGGCTTAAAGGGCAACACGCGGCACTTTCACTGAAAGAAATCCTCGACAGCTCGGCCCTGTGCAAAGTCTCAGCTGCTAGATGTGGCCTATTTGTGCTTTTGGAACTGGAAGAAGCCCCTTGCAGATAAAGGTCCCCCTTCACATGCTCGGGCAACACAATTCGCTCCTGTTCTTGGCAAAATGGAGTTGCGGTGTAAAGAAGTGCCCTGTCCTGAGTGACCCTGTGTCCAGGGCTCAGCAGTGATTCAGACCCACCCGGAAGGGGTCATCCGTTCGGTGCCGCTTGCCTTGGCTCCAACAGCAGCCGTGGCCTCCCAGCACCGGAGTCCCGAGTGTGGCCGAAGCCGCCTGATGCATCAACTCCCCGCTTCACCCACATTCTTTTTTTTTTTTTTGAGACGGAGTCCTGCCCTGTTGCCCAGGCTGGAGTGCAATGGCATGATCTTGGCTCACTGCAACCTGTGCCTCCCAGGTTTAAGTGACTCTTCTGCCTCAGCCTCCTGAGTAGCTAAGATTACAGGCATGTGCCAGCATGTCTGGCTAATTTTTTGTATCTTTAGTAGAGACAGGGTTTCACCATGTTGGCCAGGCTGGTTTCGAACTCCTAACCTTGTGATCCGCCCACCTCAGCCTCCCGAAGTGCTGGGATTACAGGTGTGAGCCACTGCACCCTGCCTCTTCACCCACTTTCTAAGAAAGCAGAAGCTGCACCTTGGTCAGGACGCTCAACACATACATATGGGTTCAATATTAAAAAAAAAAAAAAGGAAAGAAAAGAGAAAAAAGGATCACTGCAGACAAATGAAAAAGGCTACACCCATGACACTCCTTTCTCCCACAGGCCTTCACACGTGCAGAGACGGGATTGGATTTTTAACCAGCTCTTGTTCCTATTATATTTTCAGGTGTTTTCTGCAACAAAGGCAGGCTTCTGCTGCGGCCCCACGTGAGGGTGCCACCAGAGAATCCACGCCCCTCGGAGCCCACCTGGCAGCCCCAACTCTGCTCAGGGGCAGAAACAGCCCCCTCCAGGAGGCAGGATCCCGTCATCACCCACCTGAAGCATCCGGCTCACGGAGCAGGAAGGCGCGGAGACTCCTCACCAGCAGCTTTAGGTCATGAGCCCTCGGAGGTTTGGGAGGACAGGATTCCTGAGCAGTAGACGGAGCACACTCTAAGTTCTGAAAACATAAAGAGCACTTTATTTTTCGTCCTCGTGGGGAGACTGAGGACCAAGGAAGTAGCAGCTGGACTCCTGTTATGGGGGGCGGCGGGGGTGGGTGTCTACAGGAAAGTCTGCGTGGGCAGCTTGAGCTCCAGGCTCTGCTCTGAAACAATGTCCCTTCTCATAGGAAGGGAGGGAACTGATGAGCCACCATCATCCCCAGCGTGGAGCATTTTCTATCCTAAACACAGCAAGCACAAGTAGCAACGCATTTGGCTACAGACAGGGTTGCCAAACCTTACTGCAGGGGGAGATGGAGCTTGCTTTGCCATGGGTCTAAACTATCTGACCCGGGCAGGTGCTTAAGTGCATGGGGACCTCCTCTGCCAGCTGCGGGTGCCCACGGCTGCTGGCACAGGGCAGGACACCAGCCAGATGGGAACAGCCAGGGCCGTCATCCTCCACCCGTTTCCTGCCTCCACACAGAGTCCAACATCCACACGAGGAATGGCTACGCATCCCTTAGCACTGCACAGGTTAGGAGACAGAGGCAGCTGCAGCCGGGACCAGCTTCCATCACACCACACCCTCCAAAGGCACCAGGGAGTTTCCAGCAGAAAGCACCCAAATCTGGAAGAGCCCAGCTTCAAACCAGCATTTCCCAAACTGGGTTCCACCTGTCACCCACTGCCAAGAGTGTTCTTTTTTTCTTTTCTTTTTTTGAGATGGAGTCTTGCTCTGTTGTCTAGGCTGGAATGCAGTGATGCGATCTTGGTTCACTGCAACCTCTGTCTCCTGGGTTCAAATGATTCTCCTGCCTCAGCCTCCTGAGTAGCTGGGATTACAGGTGCCTGCCACCATACCCAGTTAATTTTTTTTTTCTGTATTTTTAGTGGAGATGGGGTTTCACCATGTTGGCCAGACTGGTCCTGAACTCCCAACCTCAGGTGGTCCTCTCACCTCGGCCACCCAAAGTGCTGGGATCACAGGCATGAGCCACCACACCCAGCCACAGGTGTTCTTTTAAAAGAAGCTCTGTTCGTTGCAAGCATTCGGGGACCCAGAAGGGCTTCTCAGAGGTGGCGCCAGCCCCCATGCTGTGAGAAGTTTTCAGGCAGAGACCCTGGGTGCTGATTTGACTGAGCACTTCTCAAGAGACACAGGTGTTCTTTCCCACCTGGAAAACACCGTTTTCTAGGCACTTCCCAAATGTGAGCTCAGGGTGCTGGAGCCCAAGAAGGAGTTGCTGATGTCCCTGAAATGCAAGGACATGAGCACTGAGGACAGAGCAATCTACCTGTCTGGGACGGAGAGGACCTTCCTTCAGTTGCTGAGGGTGATGGTCAACTGTATGTGTCAACTTGACTGGGCCATGGGGTGCCCAGATAGTTGGTTCAGCATGATTCTGGGTGTGACTGTGAGTGTGTTTCTGGATGAGATTAGCATCTGACTCAGCACCCCTAGGGACGCATATTTCCGTCCCTCATGTGGGTGGGCCTCATCCAGTCAGTTGAAGCCCAATGGAACAAAAAGCCTGAGTAAAAGGGAACTCCTTGTCTTCACTGCTTGAGCCGGGACAGGGTCTTGTCCTGCCTTCAGACTCGGCTAAAACAGTGTCTTACAGGTCTTGAGCCCGCTGGCCTTTGGACTGGAATGTACATCTGGCTTTTTTGGGTCTCAGGCCTTCAGACTCGAGCTAGAATTACCCAGTGACTCTCCTGGGGCTCCAGCTTGCCAAACACAGAACTCAGGACTTAGCCTCCAAAATTATGTGAGCTGAGTACATACACACACACACACACACACACACACACACACGCAGCCTTCAAAATTATGTGAGCTGAGTATACACACACACACACGCATAGCCTTCAAAAGTACATCAGCTGATTACACACACACACACACACACACGCAGCCTTCAAAATTATGTGAGCTGAGTATACACACACACACACACACGCATAGCCTTCAAAAGTACGTCAGCTGATTACACACACACACACACACACAGCCTTTAAAATTGTGAACTGAGTATACACACACACACGCATAGCCTTCAAAAGTACATCAGCTGATCACACACACACACACACACACACGCAGCCTTCAAAATTATGTGAGCTGAGTATACACACACACACACGCATAGCCTTCAAAAGTACGTCAGCTGATTACACACACACACACACACAGCCTTTAAAATTATGTGAGCTGAATATACACACACACACGCATAGCCTTCAAAAGTACATCAGCTGATTACACACACACACGCACACACACACAGCCTTTAAAATTATGTGAGCTGCATACACATACACACACTTCAAAATTATGTGAGCTTACACACACACACACACAGCCTTCAAAATTACATCAGCTGATTATACACACACACACATACACAGCCTTCAAAATTATGTGAGCTGAGTATACACACACACACACACGCATAGCCTTCAAAAGTATGTCAGCTGATTATACACAGACACATACACACACACAGCCTTTAAAATTGTGTGAGCTGCATACACACACACACACACTTCAAAATTATGTGAGCTTACACACACACACACAGCCTTCAAAATTATGCGAGCTGCATACACACACACACACACTCCCATTGGTTCGGCTTCTCTAAAAAGTCCTGACCAATATTTGATATATATGTGTATATAATATATCATGCTTTTACATAAATTTGTAGTTTATTTTTCAAAATAGCATATTATATATATGCTATTTTATTATATATATGCTATTTTATATATATATGCTATTTTATATATATGCTATTTTATATATATATGCTATTTTATTATATATATGCTATTTTATATATATATGCTATTTTATATATATATGCTATTTTAGTGTATATATATGCTATTTTATATATATATATATATAATATGCTATTTTGATAAATAAACTACAAATTTCTGTAAAAGCATGATTGAAGTTATGATTGTCTGGGTCCTATTATTTTTAAATTCATGGATTCCAAAACACATGACTGTTTTATGAAGTTGCATACATTCTGATATTAAAGGTTTATTGTCATATTCGGAATAGTCACTTCTGATGTGAGATGAGCTACTGTGACAGAATTACTGAGAGGGTCAGCACTGGGACTCTGCTCTCACCTCCCAAGAAGCGTGGCCTGGTCCTCTCCATCTGGAGAGGCTGAGTGCCCCCAGACCTCAGGCCCCTGGGAAGCCCCCCGAGACATCCACACCCTCCTGCTCTGCTCTGTTGGCCCAGCGCCCTTCTGCGTAGTGCAGGCCTTGGGAGGGTGACGACGCTTCCTCGGACTCCTGTGACCCCCAGGGCCAGGGCTTAGCACCGAACACTGCCGTCCACTGGTATCTGTTCAATGAATCAAAGTCTTCAGACTCTACCCACTGACAGCTGGGGATGTTTGCCCTAATAAGAATGGCAGATCAAGGACCGGCATCACACAGGAGTTTATATTTTCAAACTGACCTCACTAAGCACTAGATAATAAAGACTGTGTGTGTGTGTGTGTGTGTGTGTGTGTGTGTTGAGATGGAGTCTCGCACTGTCACCAGGCTGGAGTGCAGTAGCATGATCTCAGCTCATTGCAACCTCCACCTCCTGGGTTCAAGCGATTCTCCTGCCTCAGCCTCCCAAGTAGCTGGGACTACAGGCATGTGCCACCACGCCCAACTAATTTTTGTACCTTATTAGAGATGGGGTTTCACCATGTTGGCCAAGATGGTCTCAATCTCCTGACCTATGATCCACCAGCCTCGGCCTCCTAACATGCTGGGATTACAGGTATGAGCCACTGTGCCCAGCCCCGAAATATATTTTTTAAACTTCAGGGACTATAAGTGCCTGTTTTACAGAGTCATGATAAAAAAGATCAGCGTATGACTAAGAGAACTCACCTTAAACAAAGGATCGCTGACGTGTTACTTAGGCACATTAGGTTGACCAGGGCAAATGCTCTGGATGAGAATTTAACCAGAAAAGTGAGTAGCACCCTAATCAGATAGTGCAGGAGGGCTCTAGAATGAGGAGGGAGGCAAGCGATATGGAAAAGGGAGTCGCACAGATGAGACTAGTCTCCTTTATCGTCCGCTGCCAGAGGACACAGACCTCCAAGAGGCAGCAGATACTACAGGCAGGAGCAGGGCAGCAGGCCGGCTCCATCTCTGTCTATCCCACCCACTGGGCTCTGTTTGCTTCTGGGGCAGTGTTCTGAACACTGGCTGGTTTCCCAGGTACCTTAGTCCTGGAAGGATGAGGTCTCAGGATCTGAATGGACAGGGAAATGTCAGGTTTTCCTTTCACTTCATGGAGCTTTGCAGCCCTGTGCTCCAAACGCAAATCCCACACCCACCATCGCTATCCCAGCAAGCACTCATGCCATCTTGGCTCTACTAAGGGAGGTGGAGGAACGCTGGAAAAGCACACAGATTCTCCAAGAGAGGCTGCCATGGCCCCTAATGGGGTTCAGATGCACCCTCAGCACCGAGATGCGTTTACCTGAGCTTCCTGTACATTCGTGGGCTTGGTGATCAGAAGCACTGATGGAGAGGCAGAACCAACCAAATGCTTCAAGAGGTCCTTCAGCGTGTCCGACACTGTGCGCGTCTCGGCCACCTGGTCCTGGGGAAAGAGGAGAGAGTTGGCAGATCGACTTTGCAAGCCCGCTCCCTGCCGCCAACCTCACACCTTCAGAGGACTAAAACCAAGCAACGCAGGAAGGAAATCACCTTCAGATTTTAGCTCTGTTTTTGCACAAACTGTAGAAAGGAAGGAGGCCCCGCCCTTGGAAGCAGCCTTCGGACTCAGCCCAAGTTATGAGTGCAGCGTCCTCACCATGGGAGAGAGGACTGATCGTCAGATGTGGCGGAGCGTTGAGGGGGTACCTACAGTGTCATTACCCAGGGCTGCACGAGTGCTAAAATAATCCCCAGCCCATTAAATCCGCATCTGGGGTGGGGCAGGGAAAGCTTCAGGATTTTTTTAAGTGGTCAAGTGACTCCTGGTACAGCCCTGCATTCGATCCATCAAAGCCATCCACCCCCCTCCGCCCGAGGCCCTGCCAAGCCAAAGGGCCCATCCACATCCCGAGAGGCCCAAGCCAGCCTGAGAATGGGTGGCTGGTTATAGGAGAGGAGGCCACCAACACCAACGTACACTTGGTTCCCCACCGCAGACAGTCCTAACACACATGCACTCTCACGCCAATGGAAGAATCGTAAAACCATACGGACTGACCTCCCCCAGTGTTTTGGGCTGGACAGTAATGGCCATTTCGGGCACATTCATGAAGGACCAGCTAATCTGGAGGTTCTCTCTCTTCTCTTTCAGGTGGAACTCCAGCTGTTAAAAAAAAAGTTATTAGAGGGCTACTCTTTCCACCAAAGCCTTAATGTGCAGGTATGTGTGCATGTGACTGTGTATGTGAGCATGTGTGTATGCATATGTGCATGTCAGCACGTGTGTGTCCATGTGTGCATGAGTATGTATGTGAGCATGTGTGTGTGCATGTTTGTGCATGTGTACTTGAGCATGTGTGTGCAAGTGTGCATGTGAGCATCATACCTGTGAATGTGTGCATGTGTGTGTGCATGTGAGTGTGTGTGTGCATGTATGTGTGCATGAGTGTGTGCATGTGAGTGTATGTGTGCATGTGAGTGTGTGCATGTGAGTGTGTGTGTGCATGTATGTGTGTACCTGCTCACTTATTCACTTATTAAAGAAAACTGCTGAGCTTTCCACTTGGCATACTATGTGCTTTCAAAATGGAGAGCAGGACCCCAAACTCCCTTTACCCATCCCACTTCTGCCCCTTTCCTGGCCTCAACCTACCCCTCAAAGAGACGTCCACACTGGTGGCTGACAAGCAGATGTCCTCAAAGCCCTGCAGTCTTTTGAGCATGAATAGTTTGCTGTGCTTGGGTTTCTCCTCCTGGGAGTACCCACAAGGCATAAGTGAGAGAGGAGTTGGGGAAGGGCCCAGGGCGCCTCATTCTGACCCTGGACGTGGGCTGCCCTGCTCCCACACTCACGCAGTCCTGAAGATTCTGTGTGGAGTGCAATGGCGTCTTTACTGTCTCTTGCCTGGGCCCCCACAGCAGCCTCTAACTGGACTCCAATCTCTAAGGATGGTTCAACCCATCCAGTCCATTTGGGAAACAGAACAGTGGACCCCAATCCCTGGAACTTGTGACTGGGACCTTACAGGGCACAGGACACTGGACGGCTGCGATAGGGGAAGGACCTCAAGATGGGAGGCAACCCTGTGCCCTTCAGATGAGCCCAGTGGAAACACTGAGTCCTGAAGAGGGGCTGGTCATGTGGCGTGAGGACTGCGTGCCTCCCTGCTGCTGTGGAGGTGGAGGAAGGCACCCTGAGCAGAAAAATCGGGTGCCTCAAGGAGCTGGAAATGGCCCTCTGCTGACAGGCAACAAGAAAATGGAGCTCAGTCCCATAATCCCACGAAATGAAATTCAACCAACAACCCAAAAGCAATGAACAGATGCCCCTGTGACCGCCGCTACGGCAGGCAGCCCGACAGCACCTTGAAGTGGGCCTGGCTGGACATCTGGCCTCCTTCCTGGTGGCTTCCCCAGTCTGTGCTGCCTGAAGCTGCTCATGGTCATTTGTATCCACAGCCACAGAAAGCTAACACCGCACCCTTCATTCTCCAGCCGGATGCTCGGTCCAAAGTGAAAACCCTAACTTTGCGCATCTCCACCCCTCCCAACCTCCTAAACAAAAGGAAGGGTGACCTTCGATCATCTGAGCACAGGGACTCTCGCCTCATGCGAGAAGCAGGGTAGGAGAAAAACGATGACTTCTACTTCATAACCATCTCCACCCTGCCTTCCTTGCCTGGTAATTCTAGGAAAAAGGTAATTCCAGGGGAAAACCCTTTAATGGTTTTGAGTCGATGGAGACCACTCTTGCATCTCTGGTCAGACGAACATCAGGGAGGTAGCAGCGCCTCCTGCCACCAGCATCAATTATTTACTGACCTCTAGCAGCTGCCTCTGCTCTGAGAGGCAGCCCACATTCCGGTTTCTGACTGTGTTCCTTCTGTGCCAGCTGCTGACAATGGCAGGGACACTTTGATACAATCAACACAATGTCAGAAACGACACTTCTTCATTTGTGTTTGTGAGCCTGTCTGGACTCACTCAGTTCTAGAGTGTGCATCAAAGCTTGGGTAAACATGACCCAGACTTTCCAATCACATTGTCTAAATCATCTGCAGGATGCAGGAGAGCAGGAACACCTGGCAAGCCCACGATGCCAACTCTTCACCGCTTCCATTCTGTCAGAGGGAGTGCAGCTGGGGTGGGGCTGAGGAACTGGGGGGCGGATTTCAGAAAAAAGCCACTTAGGAAGCCACGAAATTTTGTCAGTGCTGGCTATTGAAAACCACGCCTTTGTAGGAAAAGCACACGGGATGTCATCTTCCCTTGCGATTGGAAATTCTGCATGACTCGAGCTCATCCTCCAAATTAGGAGCCAAGTCCAAGGACACAGGGATGAAACAGGGCACTGGACTAGCAGTGACCCTTGAAACAGGCCCAGACATCTGCGATTTTTAAATACCAGCTAAACAGGAACTCCAGTGAATATTCTGCGGGATGTGAGGGACGCACGGCTCAATGATGATTTGGGCATCTGAAGTGTCGCTGGCTTTACTGTAATTATAGATCCATAAGTCTCTCTCTATAAAATTGTAGAGATATGTATAATTACATATATACCTTTATTATTATGTCTATTGTTAAAACATGGAATAATGGTAATACTAATTTTTTAACTTATAAAAATAATAAGGGAGTTCTTTGAAAACTGACTTTGCCAAAAACTGAGAAGAGGACCGCCCCACCCCAGCCGCTCAGCTGTGTTTCCAAGCTGCAGCCAGCTTAGCGCCGGGTTCGGAACCGGCCCGCTTCTCGTCTCTGATGCCACTTGCCTTATCCTGTCCATCAACAACACCCCGACTCGTTCAAATGCCTGAGGATGCAACCTCTGAGTTTATTATCAATATATGTGTGTTTGTGTGTGTAGTGGATGTGTGTGGTGTGTAGTATATATGTGGGATCATATATAAAATACTCTATGGAAGCTTAGAGTTTGAAAATTATGACATGAGCGGGAATTAATAAAACATGAATCGTTACAGCCCTGTCACTCACACCATGCTCACTCTTCACATTTCGGAGAACTGTGACTCGGACGGTTCTCAGACATTGCAAACTCTACACATCGTTACCTGTAAATGGAATGGGGAGAGCTGCACGTCATACAGCCGGCGTCCAGCACCCGAGGCAGGCTTCTCGCTGACCAAGAACTGAATGGCCTGGCCCACCACGTGACAGACCACCACCTGGAGGAGGCACAGGTAAGGGAGAAAACTGTATCCAACAGAAAAGGCAGCTGGGAAATGGCTTTTTTTTTTTTTTTTTTTTTTGAGACAGGGTCTTGCTTTGTCACCTAGCCTGGAGTGCATTGGCAAGACCTCAGCTCACCGCAAACTCTGTTTCCCCAGCTCAGGTGATCTTCCCACCTCAATATCCTGAGTACCTGGGACTGCAGGTGTGTGCCCCCACACCCACCTAAATTTTTGTATTTTTGTATTTTTTTTTTTTTTTTAAGATGGGGTCTACCTATATTGCCCAGGCTGGTTTCAAACTCAAGCAATCTTCCCACCTTGGCCTTCCAAAGTGCTGGGATTGCAGGCATGAGCCACTGCACTCAGCTGCCATAGTCAATTTTTTTTTTTTTTTGAGACAGAGTCTCAGTCTGTTATCCAGGCTGGAGTAATACAATGGAGCGATCTCAACTCGCTGCAACCTCCACCTCCCTGGTTCAACCAATTCTCCCACCTCAGTCTCCCAAGTAGCTGGAATTACAGGTGTGCACCACCACACCCAGCTAATTTTTGTATTTTCAGTAGAGACGGGGTTTCACCCTGTTGGCCAGGCTGGTCTCAAGCTCCTGACCTCAGGTGATCCACCTGCTTCAGCCTCCCAAAGTGCTGGGATTATAGGTGTGAGCCACCACACCAGGTCTAGGCATCTTTATATTAAAATAATCTGGACTTTATACGCTAGCAAGGATACAAATTTAGAGTTGCAAAGTTGGATAAATATTCAGATTCATATCTTTTCTATAACATAGTAGTTTGAAAACTAGAAACAATATTTCAGATCTTTGCTTCCTGATGAACTTCTTAGGAGCTAAACTCTGTCTTGTCCAAATCTAGTTATTAGGCGCTTTCCACACATAACGAAGTCTTTTTCTTTGAATATCATCTTGTTCTATTTCCCCACAATAGCTGATTTTTAATCCCCCAAATGTTTCCATATCCATATAAAGTCAAAGACTTTAGCCATCTTCTTTTGCTAAAAATAAATATTAAAAAGAAAGTAAGATATAGATGTTAGAAGTAAAAAAATGTTTTCTTAAATTACCCAGAACACAAGGGGTTGCTTCCACTTAAATAATTTTGACAGTATCATGGTTTTCAAAAAGGTGGGAGTAATTCAAAAAACAAAGTATCAGGCCGGGCATGGTGGCTTACGCCTGTAATCCCAGCACTTTGGGAGGCCAGGGCGGGTGGATCACCTGAGGTCAGGAGTTCAAGACCAGCCCGACCAACACTGAGAAATCCCATCTCCACTAAAAATACAAAATTAGCTCGGCAGGGTGGTGCACGCCTGTAATCCCAGCACTTTGGGAGGCCAGGGCGGGCGGATCACCTGAGGTCAGGAGTTCAAGACCAGCCCGACCAACATGGAGAAACCCCATCTCCACTAAAAATACAAATATAGCTGGGCATGGTGGTGCACGCCTGTAATCCCAGCTACTCTGGATGCTGAGGCAGGAGAGTTGCTTGAACCAGGAGGCGGAGGTTGCGGTGAGCCCAGATCGAACCATTGTACTCCAGCCTGGATAACAAGAGCAAAACTCCATCTCAAAAAAAAAAAAAAAAAAAGTATCAAACAGTTATAAAATGATGCAGCCATACTAAATTATAAAATGAGCTAATCAAGAACCTGTCAGAAAGAGAAAGAAAATGACATCAGGAATACACCAAACTGGTTTCCTGACATGAATGATACAGTGTTAGAGGAGTGATTTTCACAGCTACTGTAGCACAGAGAAAGATGTAGTTTCTGCCACCGATTCCTCTACAGAATCTGATCTAGAACAAGAGGTCAGGAGACCTCCCTGCTCCCCTCTCGGGGGCAGAGGCCAAGTGGACACGTGTGGCATAATTACCAGGCCAGGTGCCAGGTGTCTACCATCTGTGAGGAGGGCAGGGGAGGCTGGGGCATGCTGGGCTGGACCATAAGGCAGGCACAAGGGGGTTCCTCAGGTGACCAGTGTTTGGCCAAAAAGCAAAGCTATCAGGAGGCTGAGGGTAAGTCAGACTGACCCCCTCATTCCCAAAAGAACCACTAACCCCACTGCAGGGAGTCACTGGACAGAAAGAGAAAATTCTTTAATTCTCTGGTGGATTTATCATAATCTAAAATACCACATGGAAAGATTATCAAAATAATTACTCACTCAGGGCCTGCTATTCCCCCAAGTTCAGGGCCAGGACATTCCCCTTTTCCTTTCTCATCTGCTGGCTCCTGGCCCCGGCCAAACCCTGGACCCAGCTCTTCCCACTGCTCGCCCACCCCACTGTGGAATGAAAGCGGAACCTGGGCCCCGAGGCCCCGGCAGGGGTCAACATCCAATGTCCACCACCAAATACCTCAATGCCACAGAGCTAGAAACACAAAGTTCCGCCTTCTCTCAATATTGGCAGGAAGTCCTGAGATTCTCCTTTCCACCGGTTCTGACAGCACTGCGTTCAGAAGACTGACTCACACGGTTAATTGCATATTTCCATCATCTCCAGAGCTCACAAAGGGCCAGAACAAAAAATGTTTGTATAAGAAATGTCATCTATGCATGTTAAAAATAAACGATGTATAAACAGTCCTCTTCGGAGGAGCGTATTTTGATGCCAGATGAGTTACACACACCGATGACATGACATTGAGAAAATTCCCCGTTCTTTGTCTCAACAGCCCACGCCTTTTACTGCTTAAAGTAAAAAAACATAATAAAAAATGTAAAAACCCGACACTGGCTCTGAGCACCACATTCTTGCTTTGGAGCCTTCTACACCAAGCTCGTCAGAACCCTACCAAGAAAACAGACAGCTCACTTAGTGCCGAAACCCAAGCAGTAAAGAATTTCATCTCCCTTTGTATCCAGTTCTGCAGAAAGCTTCCCGCCACCATTCCCTGATACACAGAAAACCAACCACATTTGCTCCAAAGCCAGCGAATAAATAAGTAAATAGATCAAAGGACTTTAAAACTTCTGGAACGCAGGACCACAAGGCTCACGAGTAACCACTCAAGCTGAACCACTAAAGAAGGTTAACACTACTTTCTGCTCTCGGACAGAATGTGCAATGTCTTTTCGAGGTGACACCCTGGCGTGCCTTCCCCAGCCCCAGGGCTTCCCTACCCTCTGAATAAATCTGCAGAGCAGACCAAGCCTTTCTTGGCCGCCCCTCAGAGTTCGGCTAGAAAAATTCTTTAAAGCAACAATCTTGGCCCAGCGCTTTGGGAGGCTGAGGCAGGAGGACTGCTTGAGTCTAGGAGTTCAAAACTAGCCTGGGCAACACAGCAAGACCCCATCTCTAAAAAACAAAAATAAAAAAAGATACAAAAATTAGTCAGGCATGCTGGTGTGCACCTGTCGTCCCAGCTACTCAGAAGGGTAGGGTGAGAGAATCACCTGAGCCAGGAGTTGGAGGCTGCAGTGAGACGTGACGGTGCCACTGCACCGCAGCAGAAAGAAACAGTCTGAACCTGCCTCACATTTTCACACGGCCAAACAAAACAGTGCTCCTGCTCCACTTGGAGGGCCAGCCACCAGGGCCAGTCCCTGCCTCTGCCACCCTCACAGATAATGCCCCATTTGCCAAATGGACAGGAACAAAATGAAGAGGAGATTGTAAAAACAAGTAATCTTCTTTCAGCGCATTAAGGTGTTACCCACGACGGGGATTAAATCTCCCAGCCAGGCCAACAGAGGCAAGGCCTCCACCAGCTCAGGGGCTCCTGACGTCACAGCAGAGCCAGGACCACCCGGCACAGGTAAACAGCTACTCCTCACTGGTTAGCCTTCCTCAGCGCCAGATGCCAAAGGTTAACATCTACTAAATACCCACAAGCGGGCAGAGACCCTGACCCTCACCCTCGAGTCTCCCTACCCCAAACAGCCAGGGTCATGGGAGCCCCTTCTGAACTTTCCAAGTGAGCTCTTCGGGGAATCCCAGATACACGGAACGGACAGACTGGGCCTCTGAAACGATTCGTACAGGATTTCGCAAAGTTAAACAGAAGCCGTATCTAGCATGGGCGGCAGGGACAGTGAACCCCTCCGTGGACAGCGGTGAGAGCCCCCAGCCCCAGTGCAGAACACACCGAGCCCAGGTCTGCATCTGCAGGAGTGAGCTCTCTGGATAACTCAGCCATCCCCCCACCTGCACTGCTTTTTGTGAGATTTTTTTCCCCAAACAACCAAAGACTGTTTACATAAAGCATTTCTAAATCAAGCAACAGAAGGGTGAACTTTGCATTCCAAATAAACACGTTCCTCTCTGTGTAAGCGACCGTGCTTTTTGGAGGGTGGGCTGTGTGCTGTAAGTCGGGGTCTCCACATGGAAGGCCCAAGAGGGGACCCGTGGTTGGCAGGTGAGGGTTTGGCTAGGGGGAGCCCCTGGGCAGCAGAAGGAAGTGTCACGGGAGGGGAAAGCCACCTGAAGGCTGAAGAGCAGGCTGCATGGGCAGGGCAGAGCGGAGGCCTTCGTTCACCTCCTCTGTGCTCCCTCCAGCCCCAGCCCCTCGACCTCAGGCAGTCACGTACCTATGCAAACAGCGCTTATCTGGAATCTACTTCTCTGCTTAGACTTGGAGCCCAATATCCCGGCACAGCTACTCCAAGTGTCGCTATTGTCCCCCAGCAAGAGCCCCCGAGTCTCCAGACCTCACTGTGACCTTTCACTTCCCTTTACAATTAAGCTGCTACAGCTGCCTGGGCTCCTTCTCTTAGAACACTCCAGAGAGCTGGAAATCAGGTAATTACTTTTGTCTCCAAAGAAACTAGCAATGCTGAGAAAATGTATCCAGAGGTTTATGTAACTGAGTGCTTTTCACTTTCACCGCACTACCCTGAGGAGAGAGCTCCAAAGGAGTTTCAAAGCAGAGACACGTGGATTTCCTGATGAGATGTCTCTCCCCACTCTGCAATGGAGTCTCCCCTTGCTCAATGTTCTTCAGGACAGTATGAATTGGACATAAAATACTATTT